AGCAGGAACTTGTGGTGTAGCGGGCCTGCCCTCCCCACTCATCCTCCCAGTGGCTGTCCCAACCATCACGTCCTTTGCGGCTTTCCTTAATTTCACTGTGCTAATAACATAACCCCTTGATTTACTGGATTACCTGAAAAAGAGGAGAAGCTCTCTACACCAAGAGGAAAATATTTTAACTTGTCAGGAAAGAACCTTTGAAAAGCTTCTTTGAAAATTTTCTTTCAACTCTCTTTTAGAAAATGTCCCCGTGCTCTTTCCCAGAGCAGCAGAGGAGTCTTGGAGGTCCCCTGGTGTGGAAGACATGAGGTTAAGGGAGGGACTAAAAAATCAAGGGGCAGGAACTGTCTCCTGGAAAATGTTTGATCACCAGTGTGGGGCTGGTCCTCGACCTGGTTGGGAGGAGTGCTTGGTGGGCAGAGCAAATGTGGCAGTCCAGCATTCACCTAACAGTCAGGTGAAAAGACAGAGGTCCAGAGGAGCTTGGAGAAGGGGAAAGGTTTGGGCAAACCCCAAGCTCTTCCTAGCACAAAGAGCCCAGAAGGAAGCCTGGCCTTCATCCCCTGTCAGGAGCAATGGGGTCTGAAGGCCTGAGGACTGGCTCTTAAAACAGACTGTGCAGGTAGCCAGGACTCCAGAGACTGGTGAGCATGATGCGTCACTCAGTTGGGTAGCTTAATTACTTCCCCTGATGTTTCAGTGGTGACTGTAAGTATTTGAAAGAGTTGCTGGTTAAATAAACTGGTCCAGAAGAGTTAACATTTTGAATATATGTCACCCTCCTGGAAATTACTGTTAATAATGCCACCTGTGCGTGATTCCAGATGATGCATCCACTATCTGTATCGTCAGCACGTTGCCTTCAGTGTTATCCGAAGCTCATTCTGATGCCTCCTTGCCAAATAAGGATGTTGACACACCTGCCTTATTGACCTAGTGTTCTCTAGTACAGCAGTAAAAAGCAAGTCTTGGTTTAGGCTGTGACAGAAGTGTGTGTTAGAGGATATACTTGCCTCTCTGGGATTTTGATGAATCTTAACTGTAGCTTAAGGGAGTCATAAATAATACTGTGGGAGGGGAGGAGTTAAAGTTCTAGTAAGAGGGTGGCTGATCGCTGAGATGTGTCTCAGGTGCCTAGAGGTGCAGTGCAGTCTGTAGCCCCTAAGGAAAGTCATTCTGGGGTGGAGAAGCAACACAGACAATCGTCAATAGGACATATTTGGTAGAGATGGAAAACACCGGAATTCCAGCACCCTGGGCAGAGAGAAGGTGAGGGGCTTAGCCGGTGTGTGACTTTTGTCTGTGTTTGTGGGACTAGAGATTACAGACAAGCTGAGGAGGGTAAATTAAGTCTAAAAATAAAAGAGGGTACACAGGGACATAGGCATAGGGTTGGGGAGAATTGAAGCCCGAGAGTATTGATGAGTCTGAGAAATTAGGACTCATTAATTAGTAACATCTCCTAACGAGGGCTTCAGCATGCATCGTAAGGATGGCAGCACTGTCCACAACAGTCTGTACCAGCGTCATGGCATTCCATATGCCTCTTGCAAACTAATGGTAATGATAACTTTATTCTTTCAAGCATCTGTGCTAGGTTTTTACTGCCCGAGCCCTGGATGTGGCTGCAGGTCCCAGCCTCTCTGTAACCCAGGCTTCCCTGTCCTTGCTGCTCGTTGGTGCACCGGGCACCAACATTCTACCATCTGGCATTCTTACCATCGTAAAATCACCTTCTAGCTCGGAGTGGGGGTGGGTAACTTAGAAGAAGCTTCTTTTAGATGAGAAATGGCATGAGAGTGTTCTTTGGTCTTCCAACAGCATGGCCAGGTCACTTTGCGTGTTGCCAGAATGTGTGATGGAAGCAGGGGGTGCAGGGACAAAGCCAGGCTCTGTGGCCACCACGGGGGCATCCCAGGCCTTCTCACCACAGCTGTTCTCTCTCTCTCTTTCTCACAATAGAGTGTTGCAGAGGATAACAGAATCTCTTTGAGTGACTCTAGTGGCATATGGGACGTTGGCTTCGGACCCTTGGTAACACACCTTGCTGCGTGGGATGATGATGACTCAGAGAAGAAAGAGGCCTGAGGTCACACTCACCTACCTCCTCTTAGCCACAGCAGGCTGCTTTGCTAACCTGAGTGAGTGCTGTCCTTTCCTTTTTCAGCCTGTCCTTCTTGGAAGAACACTGTGCCCCTAATGGGAGCAATGTGCATCTGCAATAACCTTTTCAAAAGCCCTTTCTCTTTGGGGATTTCAAAGAACACTTCATTCCCATTGGCCTTTAGGGACACACTCAATAATACAGGAGGAGAAATGATCTCGACAACATTGTATTGGTTTTATTTGGGTACTTTAATCATTTCCATTATATATCAGAGGAGGAGGAGAAGGAATACTAATAACTGCCTTTTACTGGTAACTTAGGTGAGATTATGGCAGGAAGTTCACGTCGTTTATAAACTTCATATCAACTCTATGAGACAAGTATTATTAGCCCCATTTTACAGATAAGAAGTTGAGACTCAAGAAGGCTAAAGTCACGTGGCTCGGAAGCGGTGGCACTGGGATTCAGACGCAGGTGTATCCAGCTCCTAAGCCTAAGCTCTTGCCTTTATACCGCACTGCCATTCCCGCATACTCTCTGGGGACAAGGGCAGCTCGGGGAATGGACCTAAGGACAGAGTTCTTCAGGGAAAGATCACCTCTGGGCTACTCAGCTCTGAAAGGCTGAGTGCTGTGCTTCTAAAAAAAGTCGTGCTAGTTTCTTGGGGGTGTCACTTCATTGCCGCATCCTTGTTCTTCCTCCAGATGAGCTCCCTCAGGTCACTGTCCAGCCTTCTTCCACGGTCCAGAAGCTTGGAGGAACGGTGATCCTGGGCTGCGTGGTGGAGCCCCCGGGCATGAATACCACCTGGCGCCTGAACGGGAAGGAGCTGAATGGTTCAGATGATGCTTTGGGCGTCCTCATCACCCATGGGACCCTCGTCATCACTGCCCTCAACAACCGCACTGTGGGACGGTACCAGTGTGTGGCCCGGATGCCCGCAGGGGCCGTGGCCAGCGTGCCAGCCACTGTGACACTAGCCAGTGAGTGCCGCTCTTTTGCCCCTCTGCCGCAGTACAGTCTCTGTTCCTGTCTTTATTCTCCCCCTACCCCTCACCATTCATACCCCTTCTCATTAGTGTTACCATAAAAGAGGTTTTCACCATTGAAATTCTAAACCAGAGCGTGGTAGCTGCCTGACAGTCCCCAGTGGCGGGGGACCATGTGCCCTCGTGGAGTGTCTGCGGTGAGTGGGAAAGAGGGGAACTCGCTGTGGTGGGACTGTTTCTGTGGGCCCCACAGCTGGGCCGCGCCACGCCTTTCTACACGGTCACTCTGTGGTTTTAGGTGTGGTCGCGCCAGTGGCTCGGTGTCCCCTCCATCCTGCACTCTCTGTCCTCACCGTGGTTGCAGTCAGAGCATTTACGGGGCTATGTGTGGTCTGAACAGAGTCTGCCCATCCCACACGGGGCCTCCTGCCTCTCTGTGAGGGGCAAGCGTATTCCAAATGCCTGGGATATAAACAGTAGACACAATGAAAAAGAAACTGTGACTAAGTGCTAAAGAGAGGAGAAAGAGGAAGAGATTAGGTGACAGTTTGGCCCAAGGAGGCTGCCAGAAGAAGACTCCATACTACTCGTGCACTTGCCACTTGGGTCTGCCGTGGTGCTCAGGCACGACACACATTATCTGATTTTATGCTCATTCTTCATATGAGAAATGAGACCTGCCTGATTAAATAAACTTCAGAAGGCTGGAGAGCACCCCCAAGACCCATTCTTACGGACTGAGTCTGTAGCTGGGAAATATTAAGACTTATCTCCCCTTCACTGGAGCCTGAAGTGTGGGGAATAAGGAAGCTTGTTGAGACTTTACTAGTGTTTGGATTTAAACTGTGAGGAGATCTCCTGAGCTTGTTCTCCTGTGACTTAGCAGTACCCCCTTCTCCCTGAGAGCCCTGCTTTGGGTTTCCATGTCACCACCACCATCACTCTTTTAGGTGATATGATTTCTAGGACGTTGGCAGCCCTTAGGTTATGGGTCATGCCTAAGGCAGCAAACTTCTGAAATGCTCCTCTTTCACAGTCAGCTGGGGTCCCTGGCTGTGTGAGACGTGAGTCCTGGGAGGAAAGTGGTGAAAGATGGGGAAGCAGAAAAGCAGGGGAGAAAAGACCTTTCTCTGCCCTCTGGATTCCCAAATGGACGTCACTCAATGGGAGATTAGAGACCAGAATAGAGGCTACTGACAATATTCCTGTTTTCGTGGGAAACAGTGAAGCAGCCCTGCCCTTTTCATAAAGAAAGGGGAAGCGGATGGGTCCCCAGGAATCTCCCTAGGGGGCCAGGCAGAGCTGGGAAGCCTCTTAGAGCCCCACCCCCGCCCACGAGAAGCACTTTCCTTTGTGGCAGAAGGAGTTCCCATTGAATCTGAGTGGTGGGCCTCTGGGGTACAGGCCCTGGGCCGCCAGCTGGCCCTTCCCCGCCCCACCCCAGCTGTGCTCGTGGGTGGGAGGAGGATGCTAGGGGACTTGGATGAGGAGGGCTCAGCTCATACTAAGGGCTGAGGACAGAGCTATACTTCCTACCATCATAGTTCTCTTATATTTTTTAATTACAATTTAAATTACATTATAGAAAGTTTAGAATATATAGAAAATAATGTCTCTCCTAAGCCTGCTAGCATCACACACTTGCCGTTATCATTTTGGAGTATACCCTTCCAGGCTTTATCCGTACCCGTATTTCTACTGTTGTAATGATACTACTGAATGTAGTTTCTACCCTCGTTCTCTCCCCCTTGACATGGTACGATAAGCCATTTCCATTGGTCATATGACCATATTTACTTTTTTACTGAGCATAAACTGCATCCAGTAGAGCCCACAAAGTACGTTGTTAAGTGAACAACCTGCTGGTTTTTCTTATGCGTACATGGTGTAACCATCATGCTGCAGGTTTCCTCCTGCCCCTTCCTAGTTAATCTACCCCCACCAGAGCAGGCTCATCCTTGCTAAAGTCCCTAAAACATCCCTAAAACGTCCCTGAGCGTCTCTGCCGTAACGTACTGAACCCTTTCCTATTGCTGGTTAATTAAGTTGCTTTCAGTTGTTCATTATTACAAATAAGGTGTGCTTTTTAGCAACATTTGTGCCTTTAAAAGGTATCGCTGCTTATCTAGGAAGGAGAGTTCATCTGCAAATGGTCAGCACGTGTCTGTGAAAGCTCAAAAAGCTCCATAACCATTCAGTTGGTCTAATTAGAAGCCAGGCTGAACCTTTTATTGTTTGGAGGAAGGGAGAGTTGGAGAGGAGAAGATTTATCTTGGATCCCACCTCCTAATTCAAGGTGTATCTGTATGAGGAGAAACAATTTATAGCTTTATTTTTAAAAAATTCCTGGCCACTTCTTTCTCTGGTGCTTGAAGGGATCTGCAGTTGGCAGTGAGGACAAAGAGAAAGGTTTGGTTGCAAACCAAGAAGGCACCGTGAGAGAAGAAGGGGCTTGTACAGGAGCCAACTGAGTCTTGTTTGAAAGCCAAGAACTATTGGCGTGTCATTTAGACATGAATCAGAAGTGAAATGTTTGGGCCTGACTAGGCCGGAGAAGTTCTGGAAATCGAGAGAACAGGCTTGGAGGGGGTTGTGTCATGGGGACCGGGGAGTTTGTGGAGTGGAACTGCAGCCTCCCAAACTTGGAGGAGGCAGAGGGAAGGCGGGAGAGACTGGAAAAAGGGGTGCTGTCTTTGGGTTAATGCCATGGGGGATTTGGCCCAGACTCAGCAGTTAGATTAAGTTTCCGAAAGCACATTCCTGAGCAGAATGGGGGCTGTGTTTTGCTGGTTGGCTGGTGTGTGAGGGAGGCCGAGTGGTAGAAGGCATTACTAAAGGCACGGTCTGCATTTAGAGGCATGGCTGGGCACAGCGTGCTGGTGTGCACGCACACACACCCACACTCAGCACTTGAGACTTCCTTTTCCTCTGGCCTCTTCTGCATGCGTTCAGACGTTCATCCTCAGACAAAGCAGTTGCTGTGTGGCCTACCTGGCAAGACTCTGCCTCCTGCATCTTCGTGAACTGGAGAACGCCAGGAGCTTTCGATGATGGGGGCTAGGACCTGGCTTGAGGATTTGGGGTGTGGAGGAGGCCTCTAGCGGAACTTTCCTGGTTCAGACCTCTTTTACTCTGATGCTAGGGGGTGAGGGTTGCACTTGGACTTCACCCCTACCTGGTGACATCAGCTTCTGATCTTCAGGTAAAATGGAACCACCTGAAGAGTCTCATTTGTACACCCCTACCCTCTACTCCAGGTTGTCCTGGCCATGTGGGTTACGGCTGTCATGCTCTGTGGAGGTGCCCATCCCATTCTCCCCTGTGGAGAATTTTTTCCAGTTGAGCCTAAACTTTATTTGTGGTCAATCTCTCTTGCTGCTGATGCCTCACTTCAGACCACCTTGTGTAATTCTTGCTTTTTAAAATGCTTTTGACTTTATTCTCCTTTATTCTTCTACCTTTCTTTTCACAAGCTTTAAACCAAGAGGCAACCACTTGACATGGCTCAAATGTTCCCACTCTGTGCACCTGAACCAACAGCAGATCTTGCCAATGGACACCATATTCCTTCTCCTTAGACCCCGAGTCAGTCTTAGAATTGTTCTCACATGGCATAGGAAGTAATCACAACCAGTTCACCAGAGCAGGCATACAACGTGAAAGCTGTTTTCTATCCCTTACCTCTAATAATCTACCATCCAAATAATTATTCGTACATAATTCTCATTAACTATTTTCTATTTTTTTATTCCTTAATTCTCCCAATTATCCTATCATCCCTAGGTCCCAGCCAAGATTGGAAGTAAAATAGGTGGTAACTGAGTAATAATTTTATATCTGGGAATTTTAGCTGATGTGATGTTTTAAACTGATGCTGGTTTGAGAGCGGAGCTTTAACCCTTACGTAAGGCATTTAAGCACTAAGAGCAGGCACATGCTCCTAAATTATCCTCTCTGGCATCGGGGATCAGAAAGCAAGGCAGCCGACAGGATAGGAAGGAGTTTCGCTTTGGCAGCTGCCTCCCTGACTCTGACTTTGAGAAAAGGTCAGAAGGGGACAGGGGCCCTTCGCTACCTAAATTTAACCCATGAATTACGTGAAGAGACAAGTTAGTGTAATGGAAAAAAGTGAAAAACTGGAACAAAGACCCAAAGTTTGTTTTAACTCTGCTACTTTAAGAGTTAACGTGAGTTTGGGCAAGTCGCTTAATATCTCTGTGAAATAACTGTGAAATGAGCACAATAATAATTACATTATCAGTTTCATGGGCTTTTTGAGGATCAAATGAGAAAATATATGATAGTAATATTTCGAAGCCATTTATCAATTCCAGGCTTTATTTATTCACCCATTTGGTCAATAAACACTTGTAGAACATTTTCTTGTGGGAGTCTCTAGGTCCTCTGTCCAGCCCAACTCCATTCTGGGAGCAGCCCCTAGGAAGGTAAAGTTTCCAATCATAGCCAGAGCCAAGAGAGAAGAATGGCTGTTAGGAAGAGAAAACTAACCCATTTCTTGTGAATTTATTAGCTCCTGTATACACCTATTCTCTAACTCAGAGTCTCCCAGCTGCCTTTCAGAGCAGCCCAAAGCATCACTGTATTGTCATCACTGTAATGCACAGAGCTATCCATTTATGCCTCTGTTGGTTCCCTGCTGCTCATTCTTCCAGCCAGTCATTGGTTTGCACTGGCAGGCCGGGATGACCCTGGTTCTTACCACAATGAACTCCACAAACAGAAGCCATGTTTCTTTTTGCTCAGCTCCCCCTAACTCTGATTCCCATCAGACACTTCCTTAAGGTCTTCTAGGCTCTGACCCTGAACTACAACAGGCCATTAAGGACCACTGTAGGCATCTCTTTCTTAAACTATTTCTAGCTTCTTCTATCCCTGTTTTAGTAAAGGTTTTCCAGAAAAGCAAAACAAACACACACACACTAACACACACACACACACACTCTTACATATATACATACGGAGAGGAAGAGAAA